TTAAATCAGATTATATGGTGGGAAGCATATTCTCCCGACACTGGTTTCGCTGCGTATAAAAGGCCTACCTCCTGCTCCTTAGTTAAGGGCAGGTCTGGTATACCTTCGTTACATTTTACATCCATGAATTTAGGTGCTGAAAGATCGGCGTGCCACTGGAATGGATGGGAACGAAAAAGTGCCTTATGCCTCCGCCATGAAGGATACGAAGGGAAGAACTGGTCCGGCTTATTGGGTCACTCGATGCTGCTCCTCGAAGATGACAGCGTTCTTGATGTCCATCGTGCTGATGCAAATGGTCTTAATGGTTGCCAAAGGCTCGGTAATCTTTAAAAGCTTTATTTGGACAAAGAAATCCTCAGTAATGGTACCTCCTTGTCAAAGGATTGACATTTGCTGCGTCTAAATGATTTATTCTGCCCAGTTTTTGCTGCAGATTAGATCCTGGCAAAACCTATTTCCCCAGAACTGCAGTTCGTGAATCTATCCGTTTGGTTCTTTTCCTCTTTCAGGCATGATGGTTTTTTTACACAAAATTTGCTCATTTTGCACTTACTTTTGCAAATTGTCCGAAACTGAATCTTTATTCACTCTTTCAGACTATGGCTTTCATGCTATCCACACAATTTTCGTCTTCTCAGTGGTTGTTGGAGATAACTACCATCCCTTCACTCCAATTCCTTCATACATTTTGCCGAAGCATGATTGTTTTGATAATATTTAGTACCAGAAATACATTAATTCTCTGTTAGCTCACTTACTTCTAATTCCCAATTATACATGTACAGCAGAGTAAAAGTCAGGCTGGTGGTAAAAACTGGGACAAATGTCAAACTGGGATGAACCTCTTTCTCCCTAAGGGAGAAAGAGGTTCATCGCAATTTTGAAATTTGTCCCAGTTTTTCCGTAAGACTAATAAGTGGTTAAGGAAGGTTGTCCAGTACCTAAAGTTAGAAAACAACGGCGTGGGAAGAATGATAAATAGGAGATATAATAAAAATGGGTAATAATGGTCTTACTGATGGAATCAAAATCTCGACCTTCAGTACGACAGTGGTGGTATTCCTCGCTGTGCAATGCCTGCAAGCTATGAAGTAAATTGAGAAATAAGGAGAGTATGAATTAGCACTGGGGTAAATACCTTTGCCAAAAGATTTGAAATACGAAACTTTTTTTAAGTAAAAGGAGGGTAGATCGAATATGCCTTTGTGTTACTATTCGGCTCTAATAAAAAAGGTAACTGCTTCTCAACGATTTTGCAGCTTGCGAGCCCAATCGAATTGAGAAATCAGAAACAGGACAACACATCCAGCTGCACTGATAGCCACCAGCCACTTCCGGATGGAAATTGGGCGACAGTAAGCGAAAGCACTGAATATGCCGGTCACAGCCAAAACAAAACTCGCAGTTGTAGACGTTCATTCATATGCAGTTATTGCGGTAAAATCTTTTCTACTATTTCTCTGCTGAAGATTCACTTAAGGAAGCACACTGGCGAGAAGCCATACAAATGCAGACAATGCAATAAGAGGTTCGGGATAGTGGGGGATTTACGGAAGCACTGCAGAATTCATACCGATGAGAAGCCGTTCAAATGCGGTAACTGCAGTTCGAGCTTCGGTAGGAAACAACACTTGCAAAGACACGAGCGAACTCATACTGGTGAGAAGCTGTTCAAATGCAGTCACTGCAATTCGAGCTTCGGACGGAAAGAGCACTTGGAAAGACACATGCGAATTCATGCTGGTGAGAAGCTGTTCAAATGCGACCACTGCAGTTTGAGCTTCGGCCGGAAAGAACTCTCGCAAAGACACATGCGAATTCATACTAGTGAGAAGCTGTTCAGATGCAACCTCTGCAATTTGAGCTTCGGCCAGAAGCGACATTTGCAACGACACAAAAGAATTCATACTGATGAGAAGCTGTTCAGATGCAGTCACTGCAATTCGAGCTTCGGTCGAAAAGAACACTTGCAAAGGCACATGCGAACTCATACTGGTGAGAAGCCGTTCAAATGCAGCCAATGCAGTTTGAGCTTCGGCCGAAAAGAACTTTTGCAAAGACACATGCGAATTCATACTGGTGAGAAGCCGTTCAGATGCATTCTCTGCAATTTGAGCTTTGGCCGGAAAGATCAATTGCAAAGACACAAGCGAGCTCACAATGATGAGAAGAAAAGTGCTGTAATTGCGACAGAAAGACGAATGACGGAATTTCCTTAATTCGGCGCCAGAAAACCTGAAAAACTGCAGAGACAGAAACCATAAAAATTCAAATTTTACTTTGTAAAGATGATCAAATGCTGCTCCTCGAGCAATCTTAAATACTTTTGAAGGCTGGAAAAACATAATTGCTGACACTATTGAACAACTCGGATGTTAATATCTGCACCTCATTTCAATGATATTATTTGTATAATCCCATATTTCGGGTGCAGCTATGACAGGCCCTTCGACTTTGAGCTGCAAGCCTTCTTTAGCACCTAGCGTCTCTTCCATGTATGTGCGCAACTTCTGTGGAAGTCGTCCGAATGGTCGATTATATTCCTGCGCACCATTCACTAATGCGTAGCGTCCACCGTTTGCCAACAAAGCCAGCAGCTTTCTTCAGCCGTCGAGAAAATGTGATCAAGAAGTTTTAATGTGTAAGAACCGTATGTATTTCGTGCCTTGTATCTTTTTACAGTAACTGGCGTGAGTAAATACCAAGGGTAATACGCACAAAGCCAAATCCATCATTCCTCTGTTTATTTGGGGTACATACCGAAATCAATTTCCCTTATCTGCGTTTTTCCAGAAAATGAATTTTTATGTATCTCCAAAAATGCAGTGTTTCCGCCTGCCGTTTCAATATTCTTTTAGACAAAAGTTTTCACTATGTTCCCCAATTATTTTGTCTGCATTAGTTGTGTTTCCGTCCTTTCTGTCGCATTGCGCACGGTAACATTTCCCCGCCTCATTTCACCATACCATGATTTATAATGGTAGCTGCTTCCTCAGAGGGTTGCTTAGAAGGAAGCTAGTAGTGAGTTCGACTTCTTGACATGCATTAGTACTAATTTACCATCGAGATGAATGAGTTAATCGGAGAGAAACTGCTCTCTTGATTTTCAGAACAAGAGGCGCTTGCATGCCATTTATACGTAAGAACAGAAATGGAAAACAGGGTTGCGGTAGCACTTTTCCGAGAAGAATGAAATAGGGGCGCAGAGAGGCGAGTGCCAAGGCAACCAGATAGTACTTTTGACAATAGCAACCATTATTGATTTATCAGTTATTTTTGGATAAAGTTATTTTGGGATGAAATAACGGTGAATTGAAGCACGTGTCATTCTTGATATTCCCGTGGAACAGACATCCCAGTACAAAGGCTACAGACCCGATACACAAAGATCGGATCGCCACATCAACTGTCTGGAGGGTCTCAGTGTCGTGGTGTTACTAGTAAGCACTGCGTTTATGCGAAAATTTATTAAAATATTCTTTGCGGTAGGGAAAGGAATGAGGTAGAATGATGATGACGATGAATCAGGAAAACATATGTACATGAAAAAAAAACGCAGTAGCTGAATCCTTCACACACTGTCCCCGAAGACCAGGAAATTAATTGTGCAACTACGTAGCACTTGGACAGGAGAAATTCCGTTAAAATTTTGGCGTTCCAGCTTTTTTGGTTCCCAAGTTAGTATTTTCCAGCCGAAAACTTTCATGGCTTCGTACGCAGAACTGCGCGCACTTGAAGTCTGAATTTGAAATCTATAAACTGCAAGTAGGCTAGTAACATTCCCTTAAAGTTCCAGCCTCTCAGCTTATCAGTTTCTCGAGTTAGCGATTTTCACGCTAATACTTTCACGTACCCGTATGCAGGGCTCAGGCGTGCATGAAAGTTGATATCGTAACTCTGAGGCAGCACTTGGCCGGCGAACCCAATGGCACAATTTTGGCGCCTGAGCTTGCTTGGTTTTCGAGTTGAAATATCTGGACCGACACACATATATATATATATATATATATATATATG